ATGTTTTGCTTTATCTTGACTTGGTTTTGGAAAGAAATGCCGAGATCTTTTTCACTCATGTAAAGCTTGTTTTGAGAGTGCATTTCATACCCGTCTTTGAGCATTCCTTCTTGTCTTCTTGACATGCATTCAGTAGACTTTGCTATATGATTGTAGGTCTTGGATTCTTGCCTTAAGCCCTACATCCGAAGAGCTATTGTGAGTGGTATTTTTAATAAAGCTATGTTACAATGTTTTGATAAAAGCTCTGCTTTGTTTTGCTTTGGAAATGTATTTGATCAAGCATGAATGATTATCCCTTAGTTTTGTATCAAGTATTATCTTTGTTTTGATGACATTCTTGAAAGGTCCTTTCGTGCTAGGGGACTTTAAGCCTATGTAGCATAGTCCTTCCGTGCTAGGGGACTTTAAGCCTAGGTAGCACCGTCCTTTCGTGCTAGGGGACGTTAAGCCTAAGTAGCACCCTTGTTAAGATATCGGCCACCGACGGACTATGAACGGGTGTGCTCGATGCCGAGGTTATGCTTTTGTTTTGCCCGGAATGTCATCACCCCATGTTTTAAGCCGACGAATGTTAAGTATTCCAAGCAAGTTTTGAAAGATCAAGTTTGATGAACAAGGTTTATCTCATGTTTTGTACAAGCTATGATAAGTATGGTTTTGACAAAGATATATTATGTATTGTTTTGAAAGACCTCGGGAATCATTCATGTAACCCCTTTATTACTTGTACCATTCACTGAGTACCCAAGCTCACCCTCCCTATGTATATGTAGGTAACAAGCAAGAAGTCGGCTACGCCGAGATGTGTGTTTTGCAAGATGTTTTGGATGCATGTTTATGTCGGCAATCCGAAGATTTTATTTCTTAATTTGTATTTCATGTGTTATATTTATGTCGGCTTGAGAAGCCTTTTGCCAAGATGTAATATGTACTTTTGTATTCAAGTTTTAAATGCTATGTAAAGATGTATGCCATTCCATTTGACTTATGCACTGCTCTTATGGACCACTTGTATTTTGAATTATTGCTTCCGCATTTGCAAGCCCCGTATATTATACTCCGATTGTGTGTGAATTTTGGAAGTTGACCTTCGGTAATTACGAATTACTGGCCATCGCGGTACCAAACTACTAGGGGCGGTTTAGGGTCGTGACACTGGAGCTGCCCACATTCACTTTCTTCTTAGCGTTAAACGGAACTCGGTGATTATGATAGTTCTGTCTCTTCCGCTGGCTCTCTCCTGAATTCTGATATCGGTTCAAGTTAGCTTCTGCGAGGATGGCCTTGTCCAATACTCCAGCGTAAGTCGGCATGTTAAGCATGTTAACTCGATTTTATATTGGCCCACGAAGCCCACTTTCAAACTTCCTAGCTTTTCTATATTCATCATTGACCATGTGAGGCGCATATCTCGCCAACTCGGTAAAAGCACAGTCATATTCTGCCACTGTCCTGCTGCCTTGTGTTAGAGTCTGGAACTCTGTAGTCTTGCGGTCTCGAACGCTAAGGGGAAAGTGTTTGTTGTAAAACAACTCCAAAAACCTGGCCCAAGTCAAACCTGGGTTGCTTTTTCGGGTCATCATCCACCATCTTCGTGCATCGTCGTCTAGTGTGAACGCGGCCAATGACACCTTCTGGGCGTCGGTGCTGGGAAAAATCTCAAACAATTTCTCAATTTCCAAGACCCACGCCTCGGCTTTCATCAGCTCTATACCCCCAGAGAATCTCGGCGGTTTCATTTTCTTAAACTCTCGGATCAGGGCTATAGTGCCGTCCCCATATAAAGCTTGCTGTGGAGGCACTTGTGGCGCTGGAGGAGGTGGAGGCGGAACTGCATGTCGGCCGTTTGTCTGCTCGGCCTGGATAGAAGTAGTACTAGCGTCTTGTAGCCTAGGTTGTCTCAACTCATGGACCAAACCTTCGACCAATCTCTCTAATCTGTCCAATCTGTCTTCGGGATGATCTCGGCCAACTGGTGGTCTACCCCTCCTCATGATGCTAAGAGTATGCAAAATGTGACTTTAAAACAAAACGATCGAATAATATGCATGCAAATAACAAATAGTCACGCCGAGATGATGCACATATTGTCAAGTGGCAAGCATTATGATGCAATCCTAACATCAATTCTAAGGGAAATCTTATGCTCTTTAGGACTCAAAGTGTGTGAGTAACGTACTATAATTGGGCTCTGATACCAATCTGTCACGACCCCATTCCGCCCCTAGTAGAATGGTGCCATGATGGCCAGTAATCCGAGATTACCGAAGGCCAACTTCCAAAATTCGCACACAATCAGAGTATAAATATATGGGGCTCACAAGTACAGAAGCAATACATACAAATCAGATTAGTCCATAAGAGCTGTGCAGAAGTCAAATACAATGGCATACATCTTTACATAGCTTTACAATCGCCGAGACTGATGGGAACATCTCGGCTACATGCCTTGGTGAAAGGTGCGGGGTCAACCAAAGGGTTCCAAGATGGCTTCTAAGGCTTAAGGTGACCCTCCGGCTTGGATTAACCTTAGGCTACACACACTCACCAAACAAGAACCAAAGCATGCAAGTAATGCCATGCAAGACAAATCAAGGTTTTGCAAATGCAACATATCAAGACAAAGATCATGAGGACTTAGGTGCAAGCATGAACTAAAGTAAAAAAAAAAAAAATAAAAAAAAAAAAAGCTGAGGCGTCGTTACATCCTTACCCCTCCTAAAGAAGTTTGGTCCCCAAACTTAAGTTACCTTGCTCTACAAAAAACTCTGGATGTCGAGATTTTCACTTTCTTCTCTTTCCCATGGTAGCCTCCTTGCCATAATGCTCATTCCATTCAACTATTACGATCGGTATCGACTTGTTTCTCAACTGGTCTCACTTGTCTGTCAATAATTCTCATCGCTTCTCCTCGTAGCCTAAATCTTCATAACCACAATCCCGCGAGTAATCAATTACAGGCAGTGGATCCCCAAAAATATACTTCCTTAACATTGGAAATATGGAACACATTGTGAACTTGACTTAGTTTTAGGTGTAAGCCAGTCTATAGGCAGCTGGTTACCTTCTCAAGTACTGTAACGGCCCGATGTAACGAGGCGTAAACTTACCTTTCTTCCAAATCTGGAAGTTCCTTTCATTGGTGAAACCTTCAGGAAATACTGATCCCACGGTTCAATTCCCTTCTCTTCTTCTCTGGTCGACATAGCTCTTTGTCGACTTTGAGCAGTTATGATCCTTTGTCGAATGAGCTAATCTTCTCGGTTGTAAACTTGAACTAGCTCGGGCCATTAAAGCTTATCTCCCACTTCAGTCCAAAATATCGGCGATCTGCACTTCTTCCATATAAGCTTCATACGGCGTCATGCCACATGCTAGCTGATAACTATGTTATAACGAATTCGTGTACTAACGGAGATGTACTCCCAACTTCCCTTGAATCTAACAACAATAGTCTGAGCAATATCTTCGAGTGTTGGATCGTTCTCTCTGTTTG